ATCACTGAATGCCTGTTTCAAACACTTCAGTGTTAAACTTTTTTTTTTTTTAACAAAGTAAGTGCTGACATTCATTGCTGTATACAAACTGATATCCTGTGACCTATCTTGGCTTTAATCCTGTAATACATTCAGGTTTGTTGGATAAACCCCGGCCTTCTTAATAAAATGTTCACGCCTGGTTTAATTTACATCATATCCACCCAGAAATCTGGACTTCATCATTTTGACCTCACATCCTTATCTGAACATTAAAACAGCAGCAATCGAGCAATAAATCATGTGTAGTGTTGGCTATTATATTTATACTCAGTTGTTTAGAGATGCACCAGTAAGCTTTTTAATAACTGATGCAGATTTCTGGTTTCCTTTGAGGTCCAACCATCTACAATAGTTTTCTTTCCAAGGAAAGTGACATTTAAAAGCAAACGAGCTGCAGGTTCATTGGTGGAAATAGTAGTTTTAGTCTAAAAAACTGAAGGAATTCCAAGACTTTCTCTAGTTATGTTTGAGATCACAGAAAGTGCATCACACAGAATGCTGATTGTTCATTTCTAGGCCGAGATAACGAGTTCTTAGTTTTAATTAATATAGTGGGGATAAAAATCAGATGCTTCCATATTTGATCTGTTGAAAAGAACCAGGTGATCTGCCAGAGATCAAATGAGCTTGACTGTTGGTGATGCCTTCCCCAACTGATGCGGCCCTTTGGGGAAATGGTTAGTGTGAGGGTGTGCGGAACATCTCCCCGACCTCAATAAACTCTTCAGTGTGACATTAACAGGATGCAGGTAAACAAACAAACAGCTCAAAGTTTGAGTCATTTATTTTGCAACAATGACCTCCAGTAAAAATCTGTCATCTATGGTAATCAGAACAGCAGAAACACCCAAATCATTCAGACACATGGATTACAGGGATTACATTACATGGATCAAACAGCAGAGTTTACATTAGACCTGATCCAGGACCATCCTAGTGAAATCACAACCACCAACAACACTGAGATGGTCCTGGATCAGAGTCCAGACAGAGATCATCATCATCATCAGTCTGAACACAGGAAGCGGCAGCTTTTCATCAGACAGAACCAGGACCAGGATCCAGTCTCAGTTACTGGGAACCAGGATACGACCTGAAAGAAGAAGAGACGAGGACACAGTCACCAACACACTCTGAAACTACATCATCGTGGAAGCTGTTTTTAACAGATCAATGGCAATGATTCAGTAAAGTTTCATGTTTAAGAGCTTGGACCAAACCAAAAAAGGAAGAACCTGTGTTTGAAACGTTAATGTAACTAACAGTTGTCTGAAATAAACACTACTGGTCTAAACCTGCCTGAAACATCAATATATGAAAAATACTGATGATCCAAACCAGTTTTATGGTAAATGGCCTGTATTTATATAGCGCTTTACATATCCAGTCATCCACCCAGTCACACACACATTCACACACTGGTGATGGCAGCTACGTTGTAGCCACAGCCACCCTGGGGCGCACTGACAGAGGCGAGGCTGCTGGCGCCACCGGGCCCTCTGACCACCACCAGTAGGCAACGGGTGAAGTGTCTTGCCCAAGGACACAACGACCGAGACTCGAACCGGCAACCTTCCTATTACAAGACGAGCTGCCAACTCTTGAGCCACGATCAGTATATGAGTTGTAGACTCATATACTGTGGTTTGAGATTTAGACTGGTCTAAACTGGTTTCAGGTATGAACTGGTCTGTGAGTGAGAGTCCTGCTCTGACCTCGGGCCTTCCTCTTGTAGTAGATGAATCCAGCCAGAGATAAGATCAGACCCAGGATCAGTCCTGAAGCTCCGATGGCGAGCTTGTTCCTCTCTGACTCAGGCATGGACGGGTCTGAGGACACACAGGTGAGAGTCAGACAGGTAGGTGTGTACAGGTGTGTACAGGTGTGTAGATACAGACAGGTATTTACCCCAGTCAGTGATCAGAGGTTTGTCCAGGCTGGCGTGCTCCACCTTACAGGAGATCTTCTCCCCAGACCTTCAACACAAACATCAGTGACTCTCAGATCTAAAACTTTTAAACTTTAGTCCAGACTTCATATTAAAAGTCTGTTTCTATGGATTATGATGCTCACCTGGGTGTGTACTCCAGGTGTGAATGGGTCTGGTAGTACCAATCACCATCTGCCATCTCCTCAGTAGAAGTGACATCAGAGGTTATTTCCTGTCCATTTCTGAGCCAGCTCACTTTGATCTCACTGGGGAAGAAGTCATAGATGCTGCAGACCAACATGGCGGGATGCTGACTGGAGAGAGGCGTCATGGAGTGAAGTTTGATGTAGGGTTTAGCTGGAAGACAGTATGATTGTATACATGTGCATTAATAAAGATGCTGTCAACAGCAGAGAGGTCAGCCTGTCAGCACAGCAGATGATTCATCTGCTGTTTCAGCACTTTAGCTCACTTTACTGCAGAGATGCTGCAAAGAGTGAGACACTTCACACACAGATTAAATAACAGCAGTCGTGTTTATGTGTGTGTGTTATCATGATAACTTTATGATTGTTTCATCATATTTAATAGCTCCACGTTACACTGACTCATAGATCTGAGCTATAATGTGTGCAGGTGTGAAGCTGCTACACAAGCTCTGAAAGTCAGAATCAATAAATAAACTGCAGACAGCTTTAAACAAACATCAGTGTTTCTCAATTTGATCTGATTTAAAATCAATGCATTAGAAGAAAAGAATGAAAGGTTTTTTTATTAACCTGTAAAGATGCTTCATGCTGTTACAAATATTTATATGAAAATATTAGAAAACAAATGTGGACGATTTTTCAGCTCAAAAAGTAAACAAACAAACAAACAAATGAATATCATCAGTGCATTATAATGAACAGCTGCAGTTTGCCTGTTTCACCAGCAGGGAGCGCCACAGACTGAGGTTAGAGTGTTCAGAGTCAGTGATTTATTACAGTTATTGATCACCAGAGTCTGACCTGCAGCTGTGAGTCCATCATGAATGATTCAGAGTAACATGAACACCTGATGATGTCACACAGACCAGCACACTCACCTGATTTAGACAGAATGTTGCTGTAGTCAACACCAATGTTGTTATGGCAGTACGTCTCCTTCTGAGCTCTGTCTGAAGCCAGCCGTCCTGGAATACTGTTAAAGTACTTTGCCTGCTTCACTCCAAAGTCAGTGTATCCAACATACTCTCCCACATTGCTGTCAAACCTGACGACCTCCATCATGTTGTAATAGTAAGAGTTGATGTACTGGATGTCCTTCAGCTCAGTGGAGTTAAAGTCACAGCGAGACACCACATAATTCATGAATCCATCTGAGAACAAACAGAACATCAGGACTGATCACTGTATTGATCACAACCAGTGAGAGAGTGTATGTGTGTGCTGATGAGTGGATTTGTGTGTATTGATCACTATACTGATCAGTGATGAGTGTATTGACCAGTGATCAGTACACTGATTGGTGATCAGTGTATCTCTGCAGTATATTAAGGAGTGTATTGATGAGTATATCGATCATACCTGCTGTGCTGAGGCTGATGAAGAGGAGGCTGAGGCAGAGGAAGGATGAAGCCATGTTCCTGAGTTCTCCTGACAAACTGACTCAGTCTGACTGAGAGCTGCTCTAAAAACAGAGGACAGGTCACATGACCACAGCGTCATCTGTTACCAGGAAGAACTCTGTGACACCAGCTCACAGCTCACACTCTTCATCATCCTGAGTGAGTTAGAGTCCATTAAAGCTTTAAAAGCAGAGATCGGCACTCCGTGATGTCATCAGCACCTTTCCTCTCTGCTGCACTTAAAAAACCTTCTGTTTTCATGTATGTTCCACAGTCAGAGCTGGAATCTAACTTTCTGCAAACACATTGAACCAACCACTGACCACAGCCCTGCTGTAATATTAATGCAAATAATAATTTCCTCCTGTTTAATAATCAATAAAACAATCCAGTCACTTTCAGTACTTTTGATCAATTGAATTTACTGCATTACACTGCTTATACTCACACTTCCTGTCTCTTTCAGCCTAAAAGAACAGAAACACTCTTATTGTGAAACACGTCCGTGGAGCTCTGACATTCTTCTGTATGAACAGCACAGATCTCATGATATTGGACTGAAAATACGTCTCAAACATGAAATCAGGCATGTTTTCTAATTAATGTGAAGTGTGATGTCATCATTTACAGATTTATTATTTCAGGCTTCAGAGCAGCTGAATCACATTTCACTGTGTTACACTCAGAGTAAGGGTTCAAATCTATTTTAAATCCATCACATATGTAGTTTTACATCTTTGTGTTGCATTATGATCAGTCAGTGAATCTCTGCTGTGAAACACACGGATGAGTTACAGCTCAGTCTGACACAGATTCCTTCATTAAACTGTTTGCGTGTTTGAGCTGAAATCTTCCTTAAAAGCTGGAATTCAGTTTTTTTTCTGTGACCAATGAAGTCACATGATTATGAACAGGAAGCAGAACCTAAAAACATGAACCCACTGAGACACACCTGACTCAAACCACACAGAGTGAAATGGATCCATGAATATTTGTAAAGACACACAAAGAACAATCTCACACAGGTTTGTGTTTATTACTCAGATGTTTTTATTGATACATAACAACCCGAAACACAGTTTGATAAACAAGGATTCATTATAGAAGTTTATGAACACACTGAGATCACCTGAGCTCAGATGAAACTGATTTCATCAACATTAATTTGACTTTTATCTTCTTTGTTTTTGTGGCAGGAACAGAGTCCAGGTAACATCTGCTGGATCGAACATGTGGAGCTGTGGGGGGAGGGCGGCTGAAAGAAGCTTTGCTTTGAATTCAGAGTTAAACTTTATTGACACACATGATGACAGACAGAACAGCTCATACAGGTGATTAACTTAAAGCAGATGAAGCAGGTAAACAGGAAGCAGACAGGACAGAGGAATCAGATGTTCATTACAGGTGAACTGCACAGCCACACTGATTATGAGCTCATTATATTATGTTGATGACATCATCACTGTGAGCCAATCAGCTGCACTCGTTTCCTTTGATGAGAAAAAAGGTTCCAGCAGCCACACCGAGCAGACCCACAGTCAGACCCACTCCACAGAACGCTGCAGGTCCAACACCTGGATCAGAGTGACCAGACGCCTGCACATCTGGAGACACAAACACACAGAGAGACATGAACCTCACATCTGGAGACAAACTGTCAGATCAGATCAGATCCAGCTGCTCTGATGAATACTAGGCTCAGTCATCACCTCTGTATCTCTGTCAGTGTTCTGTGTTTAAATAAAGTTTTCTCACCATAGATCTTGGTTGCTGGTTTAGTGAGGGCCAGATGTTGCACTGCACAGCTGTAGATGTCTCCCAGCTGTGGGGTGAACTGCAGTCTGGAGATCTGGGTGAAGGTCCCATCTTTGTTGGGATAGGGAACGTTGATGCTGGATCCTTCAGTGACCTTCTGTCCGTTCTTGGTCCAGGAGACGTTGACAGGAGCAGGATAGAAACCAGTCACGTGACAGATCAGAGTGTTCTTCTCTCCAAACTCCACCTCATCTCTGGTGTAGATCATCACACCTGAAGGAGCATCTGTGCACAAACACATCAGGCAGAGGATCAGAGCTTCAGCTGGTTCCCATCAGCAGGTGATCATGATAATAATAAACCAATAAAACGTTCAGGTGTTCAGTCAGATGATGTCATCACTGTCTGTGTGAGAGAAGCTAGAGTGAGGTCAGAATCATGAAGTTAAACTACAGACAGACTCAGTTCAGCTTCAGAGGAACTAAAAGGAGGAAAAATAAACTGTGATCTTTAACATGAACACAAATATAAACACGTCAGTGTTTCTGTACACATGATCAGTATGAATGTGTTCAAGGTGGAATTATTTCCTATATTTAATCAGGTTGAAGCTGGCTGTGTTTGATTGGACAAAGTAAATCAGTGCTGATGATGTCATCAGTGTGTTATTCTACAGAGCGTGCAGGTAAACACAGGTGAGGTGAGACAGGTGTTACATGTTGTATTTACCCTGTTCTGGAGGGTAGTCCTTCATCACTTTACGAGCAGTCTGCAGGTTGGTTTTGCAGACCTGTTGATCACCCACAGCTTGTTCATAAGTTCCTTCCACATAACTGATAGGATCAATAAAACGAGGCAGAGGGTAGATCATCTCCTTTTTGTTGAAGTCTGCGTAGGCAAGCTCTTCACCATCCAGTCCATACATCATCTCTCCATCAGAGTCTGAACAGCCAAGGATACCAATGTCCTCATGAAGAACTGAAACACATCAAACACTGATCAGTGACCTGATCAATGACCTGATCAATAAGCTGCTGTTTACAGAGACAAACTCACCGTCAGCAGAGACACAGAGGACACAGGAGAGGAAGAGGAGCAGCTCCTTCATCTTCATCAGCAGCTCTCTGACAGTTAAACTGTGAGTGTGTGTGAGTGTGTGTGAGTGTGTGTGTGGACCTCACAGAGTGTGTGTGAGAGTCTGTGAGTGAACTGAAAGTGCAGCTGAGCTCTAACACACAGCAGCCAATCACAGAGCTCACGGCTCATGATGTCATCAGTGTCCAGGCAGACAGCAGCTGGAGGTGAACATGATCTGAGGAGACAGCACGATCAATAATCAATATTTATAGACTCTTCAAAATAAAGTTCAGCCTGATCAGCTTCCACTCTGAGGATTTTCAAAATAAAACAACCTTTATTTTAATAAAATGATTCAGTTTGTTTAAAAACACTGTGAAATATGACTTTATGTGTTATTTAAATAGTTTCCAGTTTAAAACACACCTGAGTTCATGTGTGTTACTGTGACAGTGAGAGTCACAGCTGTGTTTGTCAGCAGGAAACTTTTACAAATACAAAAACTTTACACCTCCATCATATGTTGTAGATGCATCCAGCAGGTCCATCAGAGTCTTTACTGGGCCTATTCTGGCCCCGGGCCTTATGTTTGACACCTCTACAATAACCTGATCAGCTTTCAGAGAGTGATTATTGATCAGATGGCAGAGGAGCAGCTGAGTTAGAGCTGAGGAGGAGTTTAAAGTGTTTCCTGTTTCCTCTGCTGATAATCAGCCAATCAGCTCTTAGCTGTCACACAGCTCACCTGTGCAGGTGTGACAGGTGTGTCAGTCCATCTCAGATCATTGGCTGTGTCCCAATTTAGCGTCCGCACGCTTCGAGTACGCATTTTGGGACCTATTACGTCACAGCGACGCTACGAAGGCTGTCCCAATCTGAAGTGTTCTCAGCAGCAGCTGACAGATGGAGAGAATAGACAGACTGTTCCCTGTTTGTGAAGGACTGCTAGGAAAGTTTAACATAACTGTCTGTGCTGAATCAGTCTTATTAGGTAATGTTCAAATAATGTGATCATCCCAGTGTTTCCAGTGTGGGAGAAAGTACTCAGAGTACTCAGGGCCTTCAAGTTACACACTATGAAAGGCAGCAACAAGTTTAATGTTCAGAAACCTAAAGTCTGTATCAGCAGCAGAATGGAGCTAAAATAAATGTTGGTTTCAGTTCTATGAAGCTTTGAGTATTTTGGATCAGTAGCTGCTGTGTTTGTTGCATCATGTTGCTGTAACTGTTTATATGCTTTATATATTCTGAGCTAAGTTGATCTATAGTGTTACATCATATTCTATAAGGATGTTATGTGTTTGTAGACTTTCTGCCCAGTTTGACCCATTTAGCAGACGTCAGCCTGTTTAAGGCTCTGATGTCTATTCTGTGTGACTTACAGCAGTTATGACATGGTCTGATTTTCTCACCCAATAAAGGAATATTTCATATATCAGTCGACTCTTCATTCTATCAGACACAGTTATCACAGCTCGTACATTTGCTTTTTACACATATATGTAAGCATTGAGCCAAATTTAGTACCAACATATTCAAAAAACAATATTTTAAGGAAATATAAATAACTGCAACTTGAATCTTTACTGAAGCTCAGAGGCACAGAGTTCACTCACTGCTGTAATATATCATAATACTCTGACAATAACTATAATATTGGCCATATTATATTTACATTATGGATTAAAGGGCTTTGGACTTGACGCCACACCGCAGTGCATTGTGGGATCCCGGCACCATGTTAGAAGGCCACGAATCAAAACAAACACACTGTGTTGCGCAGAGGTTGCACATAACACGGACTTCTCCTCAGCAGCGGCCCCAAAATTTGCTCTAGATGAAAACATAACAGTGACCATTGTCTGCTCCTCAGCCTCAGTAAGTCCTGCTACTGTCCTGGGGGTTGATTGTCCTCCTGCCTGCACCTCAGTTCTTTGTTCCCATCTCAGCCTTTTTTCTATTTTGTATTCTTACACTCATTAACCGCAATATTAGAATGTTGCAAGCAAACTGTGTTCTCTTTAACTCTGATCTATATCAAGGAATCTATTCTCAACAAAGTATATAAACAAAAATAAACAGCAATGTGAATTTCTTTGGAACTTACCGGAATGAAAATGTGGGGAGCACACCAACAAACATGATGGCAGAGAGCTGAGCTCGACTCACCGCTGCTATCCAGGCCTGCCGTCCTGATTTGGTAACATACATGAGCTCTAGTGATGTGTCCTGTGTGTCGAAGCTCCTTCGCGTTGCTTCCAGGAGGGGAGACGATAAAAAAAGAGCCCATTTTCCAGCTTGTTCCTTCCCGATCGCGCGCTCTAACATTGCAACGACAACACAGCAAGTATGAGCCACAGCTGATGTTTCTGTGTGCTCTCGCTCCTGTAGCCTTTGTTTGGCCTACTAAGATGGCGGCTCGACCCAAACTCGTGACCACGCCCCCTCCCCTAACGTCACGTCACGAAAGAGGTTGCAGACCACGTGGCTTTCATGCATCGCTTTGTGGGTACCCATGGCAACAAAATCAAAACACTGCATCAAGCGCTAGTGTTTCCAGCACCGGTAATCATTCATTCTGCGGTTTTAATCCCTACTTGCATTTTATTTACCTCAAAAACAGTTCTGTACAAAACGACGGACACCACGTCGGGTCCCCAAAAATGAAGCCAAAACGTCTCTATCGCCCCCTGGTGTCTGGCTGCAGTATAGGTCATAAACCCCGCCTCCTCCATGTTAGCGGATGGGACTGGGGTCAGACTAAAATAAATTTATTCTCCTAAGATCAACTTTTTCCAAAGATTCTTTCTTTTGTTATCAACAGTTCTCATCACGCTGATTTATGTCCGAGGGGTCTCCTCTCCCATAAGGTTGATTCTAATTCCTACCGCGGTGATGTTAAATTGGGGTGAAACGTCATCATAGCAGCTTTGACTAGCAGCTGCAGTCACGGAGAAACTTGCGTATCTCTGTTCGGGAATAGCAGATAGAGCGTAGGCTCTGAGAGGAGGGCCAGCGTTTACGCTACGAAGACACGACCGAGTGTTTTAACCTGACAGCCTGAGGTGTTCTTCAGTAAACTGGACTACCCGACAGAAGGACCCGAGGCCCTGCTGCACTGTTTCGGTAAGTTTAACGTGTTTGTCAGCTACTCCGTAACTACCGTCCTTAGCTCGGTCCTGACACCTAGCTAGCTAAGATGAGGACTCAGCTGTCAGGGTTCGTTTACTAAAGAAATCAAGAGAAACGCTCCGGGCTGCTCACTGATTACTGTTACTGTACTTTTATTACAAGTATTATACTGTAAAAGCAACAGGCTGCATCCTGCTGCAGCTCCTGTGCAGAGCTGAATATTAAAGATGTGCAAACAACATGTTTTCAGTCTCTTGCCACATCTATGAAGACAGTAAAAAAAAAAAAATGTAAAAGCTTGTACTTCAGTAACTCCTCATTAATCAGGAACTATGGATCAAAGTACTGTAGTGTACTGTAATACTGAAAAATGTAAGAACTTCAGATCCTGAGTGTGTGAGGACAGAAGGATCAGCTTTATTTTAGATTTGAGATAAACTTTATATTTCAGTTTGTGACGATTGTGTTCTGTTTGTGATTACAGGAGCCGCCCTCAGATTCAGACCTCAGCACCACCCAGTGACAGCAGACAGATCATCCAACATGTTAACTGCAACATGAACTGATGAAACCAGTACAAAGGTTAAAGTACCACACCTGCTGTAGTGAAGGCTGCAACTGTTTTATTGAAAAACAAAGTTAAAGACAAAAAACCAGAAGGATTAATCACCATCAGCATTAACACGACCTCAGTTTGGTGTTTCACAAAGCTGCTGATCTCAGACCTGCACAGCTTCTGTTTTAAACACTTGATGCACTCAGCTGCATGAAGAGCACGCTTGAGTTTCTCTGACACAATTAAATAAAACCTGATGAAGGTCAAAGGTCGTCACTTGTATGTTTAACTATAAACTTGTGATCTGGAATTCTTTTACAGTTTTTTGCAGATGGTGGGTTATTTACCATAAAGTGATGCAGAGTTATTCATACCAGAGTAACCAGAGAGGATCATATATTTTTAAATATATAACTTTCTACAGGACTGAATATAATATCTTTATGTAAAAGTCCAGAGCTTCTGGGGAGTATCCGAGTATTTATAACATTACACAAACCAAAGGTCTCATCACAGTGTTGATGAAATGCTGGGTTTATCCATCTCCTGGGGCGGGCCTACGGAGGAGTGATTTCCCTGTGAGGGAGCTGCTGGTGAAGATCATGAGTCCTGCTTGATCAATGCCATGAGCTTCAGTCTTCCTGGTGTTTCTTAAATGAAGCCTCTTACAGCGGGTCAACAGAACATCTGGCACAGGACAGCTGTGATGAAAGAAAGGGAAGAAGTTTCTCCAAACCTCTGGACCCAGAAATGAAAAGAACACATTAGACTACACTACTGAAACGTTCTGCTGATGTTTTTAAAGTCTCCATGTTACCAGGCTGTAGACGGCTCTGAAGATTTAAACAGTTTTAGATCCCTTACACTCACAGTCTTATGTCAAAATCTCAAAGGACAGCATTATATTTTTGATATTAACAGTAACTCTGGGCCTCTGTGGAGCGTGCAGCTGATCTCATCGCTGTCTAAAAACGGATAAAAAACCATAAGAAGTGCTGAATCCTTCAACAACAGACTATTAGAGTAGCAGGTGTGTAGCATCGCTAACTCGCTAGCAACAAGCCTCCAACACAGTGCGTATGCTAGCGGCTAATCTAGCAAACGAATTAACAACAGAGTGATGTTAGAACTATGAGATGATAAGCTGTGTGTCTTTTTTATAACAGTGACATGGTTGTATTTATTTATTTATTTAACGAGTCGTCAGT